AAAAAAATTCACCCCCCTCACAGTTGTCATGAAGGGCAAAATTAGCTATATAGACCAAAATCATTTTTTGTACCAGGCTGTAAACACATTTTTTTCTGCTGTAAAGTTGGGCATTTTAACATGCGGAGTCTATGGGACTGACTCCCTTTTTGGGGCCAGTCGATGAATTGCAGTTTTAGTCACTTCCGTGTTGGTTTCACGAGAGAGACCGGAAGGTTGCCGCTTGGTCATGCCCCTTACCATAGCCGCCTGCCAGCTTCAGTGTAACTATTGTGTCAAAATCGAATCAATTTGAGCGCGATTTAAACCCGGATGATTGTAACCACTCTAAGTTTGTCTGCCTTGGGAAAGCTAGCGTCTCTCTGACATAGTGATGACAACACTCGTTGCCTTCTCTAGTGCAGCTTGTAGTTATGAGTCGTTCGTTGTAGTTTTTGAAAAGTGATTTCTGTTAAATAAAATATCTCCTTTTGACGTGGACTTTGGCCTTTGTAACTTTGCAGATCTTTTTTATGCTCAAACAGCAACATTACAGACTAACTAAAGTGAAAAAGCATAATAGGACCCCTTTAATATCTGCTAACATTGCATTTTGTCCCCCAACAAACATTCTACTGGCTATAATTTTGCGAGTATATGTCAACTTACTCTACTAACCTAACAATGTTCTACTAATACTCTAATGAGAGTTAGTTGGCATGTAGTGGCAAATTTACTAATAGTCAACAGAATTTCTAAAGTGGACAATCAAAATAAAGTGTAACCAACACTTTTTTCCCATTTAAATCCAGCAGATATCCAATGGCAGAGGCTGGGCACACTGTGTCACTCCCACCAGGGGGCACAATCCCCTCAGACCCTGTTGTCACAGTTGAGCACAGTTCAGCAGAGGTGAAGCCTGAAGATGTACCCCTGAAGAGCTCCAATGAAGCATCATACTCCCCAAAAGACCTCAACAGCAGCCAGATTGATCAACACGATACAAGTGGTCACTGTATTTCTGAGACCCACGTGTCTGACGGTGTGTGTTTACAGCCAGTGAGCCATCAGAATAAACACACATGTAGGGGTTCGCTGACAGTGCACAGGGAACATGTCTTATCTCCTCACAAGGTCCTACAAGACCACAGTCTCTTATCAATACAAAGAAGCCACTCAGACAGCTTGCAGATTTTTAAAGAGGCCGCAGCTTCTCCTTTCTACTGTGAAACGGGTGCGTCATTTTGCCAAGGACGAGACCAGGATGTTTGTGCGCAGTCGTTTCCTTCTTTAGTGTGTAAACAGGCCATGCCACTTCAGCAGAACAATACGATGACCACGTCCACTAAAGCAGGAAGTAGCGGATCGGGCAGCCCAACTCAACCAGCCAAACATGGCTTCATTCAGATCTGTGAAGTCATTCCAGAAGCCACCTGCCCCAAATTCGAAGAATCTGTTTGTTGTAACTCACACTTCCACCATGGAGCCGTCGAGGACACTTTTGCGGCATACTGCCACCCGCAACCAATTCCTGCCCCGGCCCAGCTGCGTCCACACTTGATAGGAATGGAGAACTACAAGGGCCAAGTATCAGCAGGCAACCTGCTCGCTCTCCCTCGGCTCATCTCTTCTGTCAGCGAGACCGGATTGGACGGTAAGCAACTCCTCCGCTGCTGCAATCTGGACTGCTCTTGGCCTGCTCCGCTGTGTCCAGTTGGCGCCCAACAGCGGGTGGATGAAACGTCCAAGAGGGAAGCGGGGACCATGACCACAGAAAAAGAACTGAGAGATGTAGGAGTGCAAGTAGGTCAGGACTCTGAGGAACAGCCCCAGCACATGTTCCCAGAAGTGTGCCGGGTTGAGGAGAAGACGAATGCGAGTGGCAAAGCGGCGTCAAAGAGTCAAAAGTCTCCTGTGAGGGAGGTGAAATGGGATGCGGAGGGCATGACCTGGGAGGTGTATGGAGCCTCGGTCGATCCTGAGGAACTCGGCCTTGCAATTCAGAAACATCTAGAGATACAGATCAAAGAAACTAAGGGAATAGCATCAAAGCTCTCGCGCCAGAACACCACAACATCCCAGCACAGCTCAGGATCGACCCAGAGGAGAAAAAAGGGGTTGTTGGGGTTTCTGCGCCACCTTGGCTGTTGTTCTCGCACCACCGGTGCAGTGGACTAAAGGACCCCAAACAGACATTTTAAATACTCTTGGGTATGCATTTCGACAGCCAAGTAAAGATTAAAAACAGGGAATTTTTTAGCAATAGTATTTTCTTTTTGTCCTTGTATATCAGAACTGGGTAATACATTTCAGAAAAATCATGTCTTCCTTTAATTTTTAACACCTCACTTAAATGCTGTAGTAGTTTGCTCAGTAGATTTAAGAACTTTTTATAATATAGAGAAAGATTGTGGGATATTTTATAATAGTTAACTGCTCTTTGGTTTTTGTTTTCCCATCAGCAAAGCATAATGATTATGACTAAGTTCCTGCCTTGCATTATTCTATGTGGAAATGTTCATTAAATGAAAAACTTTTATTGTTTAAATCTGTGGAAGCACTGTGATGGAGGTCAGAGAATACAGTAACTGTGGTCACTAGTTCTACCTGCTGGTCAAAGCATGATAGTAAGCCAGAGGGTATCAAATCATATGTGTAAATGCTTTTAAAAGTAAAACACTATTTACAATACACTACCTTTCAAAAGGTTGGGGCTTTCAGAACTTATTTTAATATGTGATTTGGTGCTCAAGAAATATTTCTTATAAATATCTATGTTTAAAAAAAATGGTTGTGCTGTTTAATCGTTGTCAGGCTTCTTTCATGAATGGAAAGGTCAAAAGAACAGCATTTATTTGAAATAGAAATCTTTTGTAACATTAAATGTCTTTACTGTCGCTTTTGACATCCTAACTAAATAAAAGCATCCATTTCTTTCAACATATATGACCCCAAATCTTGACCCCAAACTTTTAAATAGTAGTGTATATTAATATTGAATAATAATATTAATAAAATGTCAATAGTAAGATATTAGATGTAGCAGGTGAGCTAATTATTTTAGTCCTTATTTGTCAGTACATTTCCAAAAATATATATTTCTGAATAATATAATTGCCAATCAATTTAACATTTAATGAGAAAATTAGCACTGGATTTATACAGCATGACAACTGGTTATTGGAAAATAACAAAGAAGACGGATTATACTGTATTCAGAGTAACGCATGGTGACACTTGGAAGTAGAATATGGTTTGTTCAGTTATTTGTCAAAGCAAATTAAATGTCTCACCAGCAGCATTGTTTTCGTCTTTGTATTCTGTAACAAATAAAAGCAATATGGCACTTAATTGAAAACACTTTTTGTGTTTTGATGTTTTTGTGACCACATCATGAGTTACCATGCATGAAAGCTATCTATATTGCTTTATATTAACTACAACATGGCTTTCCTTACTGAGTCTTGTTTAGTACCACAGTTTGGACAATGTTTGTGATTCTAGATACAGAAAAAAGAACAACCATACCATCCATCCTCCTGAGACCCAGCTATGGAGTTTTTGCCTCTGTGGTGGACATTATATGGGAGACAAAAGAATTGAATAGGAAAACAAACTATATATCAATATTCTTATGAAATATTAGATATTATTATGAAAATCTGGCCAATTATTACTCCCATTATAAAACTTATTTTTTCAACATGCTGTCCCAACAGCACTTTAATATGCAAATTAGATACAGTGTATTGTGCTTAATGGGAAAAACAGTTTATGGAATTTTTAAACACATATTGCATAAAGCAAAATGGTATATCAAATCATTTTGTTATATATTTTATAACAGAGTTGAGAACCATCCTTAAACAAAGTTTGGTATACCAAAAAAATCCTAAAACCTAAAAATGTATTGATTTTTTTTTTTTTTTAATTCCCATTGTTTTTGCCTTTTCATGTCTATTCTTGTCATTTTGTTTTTTTTAGAAAAACTGAGTCCTGGTGTCCTCTACAGAGGACAAAGCATAACATATGAATGAAATATCATTTAAAAAAAAATTTATTTTACCATTTTGTTCTTATGCTCTAAACAATGTAATGACATGAAAAAAAGACTAAATTCACAAAGCTTTTTATTTCTGGTTCTCAGGAGGATATGTTTGTGCTCTCATCACCCATGTTCATGATCAGCAATACATTTACAGGCAAAATGACTGAACATTTAAAGCATGCAGAATCACCTGAACATTTACAAAACAAGATCAAAAGATGGATTTGGATCGAGTATAAAATATTCACAGATACCCAGACCTGTACTTGTGTTCAAGACTACCTGGTCTGCGACACGTTCTAGACTGTATTCCGAGTGAGACCATTCCATGACATACATATTCATACATGAATAAACATTCATGTTATTGCCACAGTTCATAAATTTGCAGACTAGATTTCCACATTGTGTGTCTTCAAGCATTTATAAATTAGGCTGTGTTTTAAAATCTTATAGTTCATCTTTTTGAAAGGCCTTTATTAAACAACATAATATTCATCTAAATGCATTCAGCTGCTTTTCTTAACATTGCATACAGGCTACTTTTTTTTTTTTTACTACAGCAGCAAACCTGATGACTACACCTGCCATGTTTTAATTCATCTTCAGCAGCAGCACACACTACGAGCAGTGCTGCCTTACATAACGCGTGCATTTTATTTGATCTCACACATGATAGTGAGATATCGTGGGGTATTCTGTGGACACGGGCACAATCGGAGGTAAGTACCTCGATATGGCTAAAGAACATGAATTTGAAAATGCATAATGACGGGTTGTTGCAGTAGCATCCATAAACCCAATAATACACATACTAGGCTAGCCTACTACATGGACACAGTCGCGAGACTCCACAGAAACGCCTTGTGTTTGTGCGAACATCAGTCGACGTCGCGTGAATACCGTCATATTATTAGACATATCTGTGTCTATTCTCATAGAGGCTGCAAATGACAATAATGGGTTGAATTTATGTGTTCTAAAAAACCAAAATGAATGATTGATATCGTGACCATTTTGAATTTATGACCAGGCAAACGCTGTGTAAATCGTATTTTTCTCCTCATATATTGTATTAAGCGTCTCTCGTAAAGTAAGAATAACACAAGATTAAGGAAATATAGTCTTCTGACCTCTCTAGCAGATATTGTGAGCCGTAAATGGCTGTATTTCTAGTGACCTAGTTGGAGAATAGCCTGATTTACCATTTCATCGCTTCATTAAACACACGACGGTAAATAGCACATTTTAAAGCATGATTAAAACTAAACCAGTTTAATCTATTTATTAAAAATATGAGCTCATTAGACATCATCAGTATGTTTTTCTTTGGTGTCTGTTAGAATTATATCTATACATGTATGGAGACACACAGTAATCTTTGAGCAAACTTATTGAACCTTAACACACATAACAAAATACCAATCTTTGTTAAACACTTACCCTACTTTGCAGTTTGACACTTAAGTAGCCTAACTTGTGTCAACTGTCGATTCATTAATGGATGTCCTTATATTCGAGAAAAAAATAAATCCAAGTGCGATCTGTAAATGAAATGGGAAGTTATAAAGTTTATTATTTTTTAATGTAGGCCTATTATTTAATTTATTATTTTACCATAATAAATGCTCTGACAATGAAATATAAAAACGAGGTTACCCACACAAAATACTATAGGGTAAAACACGACAAATAATTCGATATGAATGAATGAATGAATAAATAAATTAAAAATGGCATGTAAAACATATAACTGTTAACAAAAATTAGAAAGTACATTTTAAATCAAGTATAAAATACATGTGATACATTGCATAAGAAATTCTGGTAATAGCCAGATAAGAAAACAAGAAGTAAATAATATTTTACAGTAAAATGAAATGCAGTGTAATAATAGTAAGCAAAATAACTTTTTTTTTTCTGTAGCATTTTACATTTTTTCCCCCAGTTGAAATAAGTAGCATTCTTTACACTGCAACATTCCCCTCAAGTTTAGAGGTGTAATTAATCACATGAACTATGCACCAGTTCCACAAAGTATCACAAACAACAAAGTCTCCAAATACTTTTGGGAGTTTTAAATATTTTATCTAATACAGTGGTTCTGAACCTTTTTTCTCCAAGGCCACCTATTGTCCAAAACATCATTCAAATGCCCCATGACTTTTTCTGTTTTTTTATTTTTAGATTATTGGATAAGGATTTTATGGTTGCTTAAAAAATTTAAATGTTTTTGAGGGGATGCATTAAATTTTTTTATGTTTGGCCCATTTTAAATCCTTTGAAGTCATTTTGAGGCCCCCTAGTGGGTCCCAGACCTCCGGTTGAAAACCACTGATAATGCAGTGGCATTCGTACATTTTAAGTGTGACTTAAATCACCTTAAAGTGTCCAAATACAATTAGGAGCTGCTGTAATATTGTGTAAAATAAGTAGATACAAAGAAGTTCAGCAGAGCTTTTACATATATTCTGAGGGTTTATTTTCTTCTGAATCATCTCCATGCTTTTCTTCCATTCTCAGGGTGATCCAGAATGAACAGGGCTGTGGCCAGCTGCTGGATATTTCTCTTGCTTTCAGCATTCCTGTGCGATCAGGTGATATCCAAAGGTGGCAGGGGAGGAGCCAGGGGTTCAGCGCGGGGCAGCGCCCGAGGAGGCCGGACGTCCCGCACCCGAGGCTCTCCCGCTGTGAGGGTGGCAGGGGCAGCGGCGGCCGGGGCTGTGGTGGCGCTGGGAGCCGGAGGATGGTACGCGTCGGCCCAGCGTCGACCGGATGAGAGCTCAGAGCATGGAGATGATTACTACAGTAACAGAACAGACTGGGAGCTTTACCTCGCCAGGACATCAAACGCAATAGTGCACGACTCCACTACCACTAGATTTTCTGCTTTGCTCTTACCAATAAACTTTGTGATGTACTTTGCCCCTTGAGGCAGTTTAAGACACAGTTTGGCACAGCTTAATAAGCTGCTTATGTATGTTACTGTGCAACACCGATGTTTAATAATGTGTACTTTAATGCACAACAAAGCAGATATAAAGACGAAAGAAAGATTTAAAACCTCTCTATTTAGTTTAGTAGACATATAGGATCTGAAAGGTTAGTTTGCTTCAACAGAAGCATTAGTATCTATACAACTATAGACTACTTAAATTATGCTGGTTACATCATGTACTGGATGGCAAAAATACTGTGTTAATGTTGTGCCGCTGCACTGTTAGTGAAACTCCACTGTTCTTGAGATTTACGTGAACCTTTTTATATGAACCTTTGTCTGTTTAATAATATTTATGTTCACATTTAATTGTATGTAGATTGAAGAGGTATGCTGTAACACATTTAGAATAAGAAAACAGTATTTCTAGCGGTACCTGTACTTCCATTGCTTCGGGTGTGAAAACGTCCTCTTTTTAAATTATTTATAAATAATTTGATGGATTTAAACAATTTTGAATTTATAGTAGAGATTTTTGATAACCCACAAAAAATGTGAATGCAGTATATATTAAGTGCACGTGTGTTTAAAAACGCAAAGAAATTAAAGATGTTTATATATATATATATATATATATATATATATATTAAAAAAACAGTACACAAGCTCTCTTTGCCAGCTGTTGTTAGATATATTTAACAAATTATAATTTTAAACATCAAAGCAATTACATGCCAAATATTTCATTAAAATTAATATATTAATTTAGGAAAAAACAGATGACGTAGTTTTGTGAAAGTAGATAATTAACTTGTTCTAAGTAGTTTTGTGCTGCCATTTGATTGTTGGGTTGAAATATTTGGTTTTCACATACAAGATACCAATGCGGTTTAAATAAAAATCAATTGTTTATTGTATCTTCAATTGCAGTAAAGAAAAAAAAAATACATTCAATGCACCTTTTCTGATAAGTACACAATAAAAATAAGACGTGCACCAAACACCCTGGTCACCACCTTTTAAATAAAACATTACAAGTAATAAGTGGTTTTTTTATGTGCTCGGTGTCCAGTCTTGTACATACATACAGTAAGGTCAAGCTTTTTTTGCAATAATTGCAAATCAGTTATTTAAACACTATTAATCAAGCATAACTTTCCCAAGTTCTCCTTTGCGAAATGCTCTGATGAAATCATAGGCTGCTGCACTGTAGTCTGGTAACTGGACAGTGATGTTGCCTAAACAGTTGATGTGTTATTGGTTAAATATGGTCAATGATTTATCAAATATATTTTTAAAAGTTTAAGTTTCTAAAATGAAAACTGAGTGGCTTGAATGAATGAACTCACCAACTCCAGTGATGGCCTTCACACGCTTGGTCTTGCCGAGCTTCACCGCTATCCACTTCAACACATGCTGAATATCATCGCTAGGCTCTTCAAGATTGTACTTTTCAACGTAACTACATTACAAATTGTCACAACCATTATTGATTATTCTACTGTACATTCAGCTTCATAAAACACACAACAAATCATTGCTTAGTGCTTGTAGACTGTCGCAAAACTCGCTAAGAATTCCATCGCAAAACCTACCTAAATCTTTCCCGTCTGTTCAGTGAAAAAAGCAGATAATCTGCAATGACATCCTCACCAACTAAATGGTCCAAAATGGTACCTGTTTGAAAAGAAATACCTTCATCACCTTACAATAAAAACAACATGACAACAACTATACATTAAGATTATTTCCCAGAAATTTGGACTTACCGCATAAAGCAAGTTTCATTCCTGCCTCTATGTTCTCTATTCTAGGTGGCAGGACCCCAGGGGTGTCCAGTAAATAAATTATGGGTCTCTCACAAACCTAGTAAAACAAAATTTCATCTAAAGCTATGTTTAAACAAATCAATCCAACTGAATCCACCAAATGATTATAATTAATACCTGAATTTTTGTCAGGACAGTTTTTGTAATTCCTGGTTCACCTCCTACTTTTGAAGCTTTGCCTGACAGCAAGAAGAATATCTAACCTTTAGGCCTTATGTTTATTTGTTTGTTGAAATCAACTGACTGCAAGAAGCAAAAGGCCTAAAATAAATACCTTTTTTCAAATATGTTCTTCTTACAGCATTAATCAGTGATGATTTTCCCACATTTGGCACACCAATGACCATCAGGCAGTAACTTCTGTCCTACACAGATGAATAAGAAAGTCAGAAAACTTTATAGCAAAATATAAGCTACTGAAATAGTTGAAACTTACCTCTTCTCTATGAAAACGCGACCCACTTTCTATCAACTCTGTCACAAGAGGAACAATCTGGAACATCAGACATTGAAAGACAGAATGTTTAAAATAATAATGTGCTAGGTTTTCCAGTCTTTTATTTAGAAATATCTGATGTAACGTCTGACACTGCTCACCCTTTTTACATTCTCATCTCGTTGTCTTAAACAGTCTGTAAACAAAACATTCCTCACACCTTCTCTGTCAAGCTGCTTCAGAATACTCTGGTGAAATAAAAAAATAAAAAAAACCTGTTAAATCCTGTTTTTATTAGAACATTATTTAAGTACTTTCCGTTTTTGCATTTACTAAGACAGTTTACATTTAAAACAATAATGAAATGCATAAGATTATAAGACCTGCTTTTTTGACGTGTCTGCCAGATCCATCTTGTTCAGTAGAAGTATGTGTGGCCGGACATCAAGACTCTCTTGAAATGAGGGATTTCTTCCAGAAAAGGGTATGTTGGCAAGTTAAAGAAGGTCTTAGAAAAATAATGTGGTTCAATCATTCAAAATGTCCATTCTCTGCAATAAAAAGGATATTCTAGCATCATGGATCTCTATAATGCAATCAACCTTCCTTAGACTGGCTCTCATCTGCTTGAGTCCTAGAATCGTTTGAATGAATGACTCAATGACTCACTCATTAAACGCTTACTACTGGCACTGGCGTTTTAATTTCGCTGAAAAGCATAATTTCCACCATAATTTCTTGCTTGTATATTCAAAAATATTTAAAATAATCTCATAATATTATTTAATGCAGTTGTATTTTTCAGTGTAAATGATTTAATTTGATAACGTATAGATAATCACATTATTATAATTGAATTTATAGCCTAGATGTTAAGGATTACAAAGGGGGTTACATCTGACACTCCCACATACAGATTTAATTGATTTCTTTCATAAATTGGAGAGACTGCTCTAAAATAGGAAACACCAATGTTTCAGGAGTTTATAACATGCTTATTCGATAACTCTTTTATTTCCTATATGGGTTTATGCATATGCTTTATTTTTTTAAGATTAACTGTTTTTTTCCAAGGCACAGTTAGATTTCAGTGTTTCCTGTCATATGCAAAGATTTGATTTCAAAAACAGTATCATAGCTATTAAACTATTTCTTGTTATGATTTTAAATCTATATTTAACCTCAGAAAGATCTTAAAGTAAGTCTGATTTTGTGGTGGCTGTGCTTCAAAGGGGACATCAGATGCCCTTTTTCCACAAGTTATGATTCTTTAGGGCCTTCTTGAAATGGTCTCAGTGGTCGTGTATAACCACCCTTTTTACCTTGTCAAAAACAGCTCTGCATGTTCACAGCAACTAGATTCTGTGAATATCTCTTTACATGCTAATGAGCTCTGCTCACCCCGCCCCTCTTTTCTGTGGAAGTGCAAAGTTGATTCACAAATAATCATAAAATATATAAAGTGTGAGACTTACTTCTTCTGGAGGTGCAGCTGGATCACGAACAATGGGTACTGCATCCTTGAGTTTCAACTTTTTAACAAAACCTGCCTTGAATTTGTCCCTCGTTGAGAAAGCAGTCAGGAGTAAATTGATTTGTGCGGACAGGTGTATTTGGTGGCACATTACCATGAAAATCAAAAACTAATCCACGATGTCCTCAGCGGCTCTGATGTCGGGAGAAATAAGGACTCTTATGTTCTTTCTACATCCAACTACAAAACACCTGCATTGCTTACAAGACATTTTTTTGTTACAAGACCAAAAAAACAACTACATATATGTGTATGTACAACCATACACACATACATATATATATATACAGTATATACATACACATTTATAAATTCAATATATATATTATTTCATTTCCATTTAGTTTGTTGAAGCATTAAAATAACTCAAATTAAATAAAACTAAAACTTAATAAAAGACCTATACAGACATAATAAATTCAGACATAATTTAACTAAAATTAAAATATATAGCAAATACAAATAATACAAATCAAACGACAGTAGTATAATAACACTGCCAAACTTACATGCTAAAAAAGAACAACTTACTTACACATAGTAAGAAATGGTTATAAAAACTGAAACAGAAGTGAAACAAGTAGTAGGAAAGAGGAGAAATAAAAAGTGATACTTATCTGAAAATGAAAATTCAAAATCACACGTTTTGCGAACAACCCTAAACAAAGATATCGTTCATTTGTACTATTTCGACTGCTGATGAGTAGTGACTTTTTCTAATTAGACATAGCCTAATTAAAATAATTAACATAGGCCTACCAATAAAACATGTTTGAAAATGATTAACAGTTGAAAACATTAGAAATTTAGAAATGTAATCAAATGTAATCAGTTACATCACTTTATTAAAGCAATTGAAAAGTTACATAACTTATTACATTTTAAGTAAGGTAATCTGTAACCTATTAAATTTCCAATAACCTTCCCAACAATGGCTACAGCAGTATATAGCCTACCTCACGTGCAGGGACTTGAGAAATATAAACAGAAATTTGGTACAGTGTATTTTCTCCATATTAGCCTATATTATGTTGGAATTCAGAATTAAAGAAAATAATTTCAGATCACTAGAATTTGAACGGGAAAGGCAGATTTCGAGTGCAGTCTAGACTACAATTCAAAGGCCAAAAGCAAAAAAGAAATGTATTTATTTAGTAATTTATCAGACGCTTTTGAAAATGAAAATTCAAAATCACACGTTTTGCGAACAACCCTAAACAAAGATATCGTTCATTTGTACTATTTCGACTGCTGATGAGTAGTGACTTTTTCTAATTAGACATAGCCTAATTAAAATAATTAACATAGGCCTACCAATAAAATAGGCATTAATAATAAATTAATTAATAATAAGTAAAAATAATAAATTAATATATAAAAGGATCATTGTATTTTAGGTCGATCACCTTTAATGGAAATGCTATGTCTTATTTTAGCAGCTCGGTAGCCTATCACACGACACAACAGTTATGAATTGCATTAGAAATCAGGAATTAGACATTTATTATTAAAGTCATGAAAACTACAACTAAGAATATTCTTTCATTATAGCGATGGTGTCACTATTATTTATTATTTGCATACTGAATTGTAATTGGTCTTTATCACAGCTCTGGGTTACACGGCTTAAAAAACGAAAGACAATCTCAATCAGCTTCTTCCTCGCTCCATCTATATTTGTATACAACTAATCAAACCGCCATTTTAACATAAATACCGCTGTTTTGTCTGCATCGCGAAAACTGGTATTTCTTTCAGGAAATACAAAACTAGTTTTTGGCTGAGAGTCACTCCCTTAACTTCACTATAAACTCCACCCTGGTTTAAATACGACAGGTGTGTGCACAGGTGTGTGTTTGAGGTTGACTAGTTAACTGGTGGCCACCCTGCCGAGCGGACAGTAACCAGAACAGACAGCACATTTTTTTACTAAATCACCTTTACTTTTATATACAGTTTGTTGTAGATGTTTCCAAAATGAATGCGACTGAATTTCAGCTGCCTCTGACGGAGTATGATTTCGAGCGTCACTTTGATGAGAGGTTTGCTATTGAATGGATGCAGGGCAACTGGTAAGAACTGTAATTGATTGAATTGGAAATTCATCTGTATCAATACACCTGCCACTAGTGCTTGGAAGTCCAGCATAAAAATATTTTTTTCTGGTGTTATGTTTTGTCTCTTTCAGGAAAAAGTCGTTTTTGTTTGGTGCTGTGTATGTAGTGCTCGTGTTTGGTGGGCAGCACTTCATGAAGGAAAGACAAAAGTTTGATCTACGTAGGGTGTTACTGCTGTGGTCCCTCAGTTTGGCCATCTTTAGGTAAGTAAAATACCTCAGGCTCACCCCCCCATTCCATAGACTTCTTTGTGTTTCTATATAATTAAATAAATATTATGACCTAACCCTGACCGAAAACTGCATTTTATAGTTGCAACCTAAAGATGCTCACAAAAGGAGTTTTTGTCAGATTTAGCCCACTTCTGGATACAAATTTGTCCTTTAAATTCTTAAATCTCAAGATGCTCCTTTGCATCTTGTGGTGTCATGGAGGTTTCACACCACCTTGTAGTTTTACTTTGCTGTTGGATATTAGGTTACATAACATATGGTTGTACCAATAGGAAACTATCTATTGTTAACTGCAAAAATGCTGTTTGAAACATGAGCATGCCAAAATGCATGCCAATGACACGTTTGTGAGATTTACCACTTCATGTGGTTTTTAAATCTTCAGTGGTTATTGTTTCAAGTTGGGTTTGGTTTCATTTGGGTGGGGGAAGGTGTCTTAGTCCCATCTCAAAAGAGAACAGAGATGACGGCAAGCACAAAGTAACTGTTTGCATGCTTGTGAAAAGAACAATAGAATACTGTGATTGGATGGGAGCAGTGACCTCTGGTCACATGTTCTTTAGATCTCCCACAGCAACTGGACTTTCGCCACTTAGTGAATGTTTTGATATTGATTTGTTTAACACAGAAACTGCCTGGCTGCTACCATAGCAAAGTTTCTATTTGACATGCCCAACATACAAGTCTTTTTTTTCTTTCTCCCCCTCCCCAGAGTTCACTAGAGGTCTGAATTGTTTATCATGAATACCATGGTTTTACAGCCATGACGGACCATATTCACATACAAATCTTGCTTTTTCTCTTTCAGTATCATTGGAGCGGTGAGAACTGGATGCTTCATGTTGTACATGCTCAGAACCAGTGGTTTTAAACAGTCTGTTTGTGATCAGAGCTTCTACTATGGGCCGATAAGCAAGTTTTGGGCTTGTGCTTTTGTGCTGAGCAAGGCCCCAGAGCTAGGTGAGCCTTTTCTTATTCATTTATTTTGGGATAAATGACCATTCTGTCATTTACTCACTCTCATGTTGAACCAAACCTGCATGACATTCTTTTGTGGAACGGAAAAGAAGATACTTTGAATGTTATAATGAAAGTCAGTGGGGTTCAAAACAACATTGGACCTCACTGACTTCTAATGTAAGGACCAAAAAAAAAATCGACCCAATTTTTGGTGCTAAATCGACACAATTTTCATTTTTAGGTTAATTATCTCTTTAATTGTTTGTAATTTTGCCAAATATTTTTGCACTCATATTTTAACCCTTTTTTACACACATCCTCACTTTTTCAGGGGACACCATGTTCATCGTCTTGCGCAAGCAGCGGCTGATCTTCCTGCACTGGTATCATCACATTACTGTGCTGGTGTACTCCTGGTATTCCTACAAAGACCAGGTCGCTGGTGGTGGCTGGTTCATGACCATGAATTACACCGTGCACGCGCTCATGTACAGCTACTACGCGGCTCGAGCTGCTGGACTCTGTGTGCCGAAACCCTGTGCCATCATCATCACTTCCTCCCAGATTGCTCAGATGGCCATGGGACTGGCAGTAAGTGCGCTAGTGTACCAATGGATGCAGGATGGGGATTGCCCTTCTTACACAGATAACATAGTGTGGGCTTCACTCATGTATCTCAGCTATCTGCTCCTCTTCTCTTCTTTCTTTTATCAGTCTTACGTGAAGGGTTTAAAACCCACAAGCATCAAAACTGAGTGATATGCAGCCCTGAGGTTTGAATATGAGATTTTATTTCTGATGGTTTACCTTGGTAAAATACATATTTATTTCATCTTTTAAAGCAAGGTGAACAATGAAGATGTGTGTGTATATATTTTCAAACAACAGCCAGACTGTAAGCGCTATATGAAAAGAACAATAGATTAGGGCAGTTATTTGTATATTATTTTCTAGATGGTATTAGCTGAGCAAAGTGCATCAAATACAACTCTTTATTTTGCTGTTGAGAATTTAAATTATTTTGAAGAACCCCCCCCCCATCCATTCTGTACATGCTCTTCTTGGGTGTGTTTTTATTGCTGCATACTAGTTCAGTGTTTCCACCTCATGATGTCACAGAAACTTGAATTATCCGTGCTGGCTGGTTGGACAGGTTCTCAGACATTTAAATTGGCCATTTTTGGCTGGAATTCTTTAGAAGGACGACACCCATGTTCTCGCTCTCATTCTGTTTCTATCATGAGTTCACTGCAGCTCTCATTCACTGAAGTTACATTATATAAAACCAGCTGAGGAACGATCTATATTCTCTCATTCACCTTTGAATAACACATGGGTAGAGTCAGATTGAAATGGTTAATTCCTGGTTTTGTGGCTGTACTGGATTGGTGCTTGATAGAACACAACCTTTTCCTGTCCCTATATTGGTGCTACTTGAGTTGTTACTGGAGTCATTAGTAAAATGCACAGTTGTATTTATATATTTATCTTGTATATCACACAGTCACATTTGGGACATAATTAATTTTTATGGTTGTGGGGATATTTATTTTTCCACTGAAATTACTATGATAAGGTTTCCATCTTGATCTTTTAAAAAAATGTTGTATTAGCCTATGTGATAGTAGAGAACAATCCTTTGAGAATATTCAGTGGAATTATGCGCTCTAAATTGGTATCATCTGAAATGTTGCTGCTACCATCCAAGATTTTTGTTGTTGTTGTCTGTCCTCTGGTCTCTCCTGTCTGTTCCTGTGAAAGACTGTGAAAGATTTTGTCTACCTTTTGTGTATTTCAGTTTAAAGGATATTTTGATTAAGAGATTTTATGACTTTGTCTTAAAGTATGTTGGAGATGGAAGCCAAATAATTACTTTGTTGTATTAACCGCAAAGTTGAATGTAGTGGTTCTAGCCTACATTACAAGGCATAGTATACAACTTCTGTATTTTAAAAAAGAAGAATGTAGTGTAATGTAATAAAGGAGCCGAATGTAAATATTTATCTCTTGTACAAGTTCTTAGCTGATATGAAGAAATTATGATTGTGTATTTATTTTTGTTATTAAATAAAAGTGTGTGTGTGTCATTCTGTTCTATTTTTTTTTTCAGCTGACCGGTTTCCTGAGCTAAGCTGACATTTTATGCATTAACACATACATACTTTTGTTGTTAACAGGAAGTTCACACATTTCCAGCTCTGTGATAGATGTAAACTTAGATGCAGGTCGGTATCATATTCATTTCAGTTGGGCCAGTAGAAGAAGGAGCTGCTCTAGTTGAATATGACTCTGGAAGCCTCTTCAGAAATGATTTCTTTATCACATTCTTTAGTCTCTGATGTTTTAATATGAAATAACATGTGACAAAAACACTCTCTGGAACTGGAAGTATTCTGGGCCCATTTTTCCACTAGCAGACAAAAATGTGGTTAGGCACTAAACAGCCGTACATTGACCCCAGTGTTCTTCATGACTAGCCAGTCAGTAACTTGCCATTAGGCGACACTTCTCATCGCCCCGCTGGAATCATAGGTTAATTGACTTGCTCGAGGGTACAGCAGCGGAGACGCTGTGAAATTGAAATTTTATTAACTCTTTAGTGCCTGGTTGTTCCCTAACACCACACACATGTATGGCCAGACATGTTTTGTTTCTTTTGCCACCTACAGACTCACCCAGTGATGAGAGAACGGAGTGCTGTAGTGATGACATATTTTTGTAGACCAACCAGGACGTTAGCATTACCCTGGTTCACTTGACAGAAACCCCAGGATTTAATTGATTTTGGATTATTGCTGAAAATAAGCTCTGTGACAAACCAAAGTTTATGATTCTTGCATGTTTTGTTCATCATGACAATATACACAAATTAAAACATCTTTTGAAGACTTAATACAATCAGAACCCTTACGAAAATTGACCATGGTTTTACTAAAAAAAACAAAAAAAAACAAAAACAAAACGGTTAATTTTCATAAGGGAAGTAAATATCTAAACATAACTATAAATGACTTCACCGTCACCACCATTATAAAAGCTTCTAATACCCAAGTATCACTGATGTAGCTATTTTATGTCATAGAATAAAATATCTTGAGCGCTTGTTTTTAACCACAGACCTTATTTCAGGCATTTAACCAAAAACCTTTAAAAAGCCCATTGACTTGGACGATGAAACCAGAAGTGCTAAAATGGCATCTCATTTCCAAATCCTCATCTCAAAAACACGAAATCCCTGCAGTACTCTATGGACTCAATGTACATGTTCACTTGAGTTATTTAGGCTATTTAGTTACATCAGAGTTAAACATTTTATTTTTCCGAGAGACATCCACCTTCTACAGGTAAAAAGTCAGCAATTATTTTATTCCCTAAAAATCAACTGCTATAAAATGCAGTGAAAATGTCATCTGTAATGTTTGAATGCATCTGATTTTAGAACTCAGTATCAGTGAAAAATCATGCCACAGTATTATAATGCTATTAAAGCTCAATGCTGCCACCTACTGTTCTACCCATAGAACAGCTAGACAAGGGAGTTTATATAAGAACAAAAAGGTAAAGTTTCAAACATGGAAATATATTAGCGTATGCACTTCTATTAAAATAAAGGTTCCAAAAGAGTGTTTTAGCAGCAATGCCACAGAAAAACCACTCTGGGCTCCACAGAGAACCTTTTGTTGAAAAGTTCTTAAAAGAACCGTTTTCCCCCGATTTTTTTCCCCAATGTTTTTATTTTTTATTTTTACGATTTTTCCACTATAAAGAACCTTTTGTACAATGGAAGGATTCCATGAATGTTAAAGGTTCTAGATGCCAATTAAGAACCTTTAAACAGAGTAGTGTGTACAAAAGTAAAGTTGCCATGTAATTGTATACAAAACAAGTAAACGAAAACTCTAAGATTTGCACATTTATCTTAAAATAACAAAGGTTGATTGGATTTAGACTGCAGCAGAATGCAGTATCAGCTAAGAGGGTGTGTTTGATTAATAGGGGGATGTAATGCTACTTTTTGTTTTCTGATAAAGAAAAAAAAAAACCACGACAACTGCAAAGAACTTCAGAGATGATATACATTCAATGCAATCTTGCCAAAACCTTTGTGATCTTGCATATTTTACATTCAGTAACCATAATTAAATGATCTAAGAATACAAAAAAGATAAGATGAACCTGGACTTCACTTAAATTCTGGTAGCTAACCAGATGCCATTATGTATTGATGGATATATTTATCTTGACAGATATGGACATTATGTATTGATTCATTCTGGTAAACCATCTAAATGAACTAGTCATCTGTTATATTTCATGTTGGACTGAAAGGTCCCTTTGTGATTGTATGGGTTCAGTTTGCTTTAGTCTGGTTTAATTCATCAGCACATCTAAACAGCTCATCTGCATTGACAAGCTTGCCACCTTGACTTTGAAATGACTGTCATCCCCTCCGGATCCTCTGGAGCAGAGAGAGGGAGTGACAATACTCACATGTGCAAACTGTCCTATTAATCATTCCACAGATCGCTCTCCTTGCTTTCCTTGGCCTCCAAACATGTTACTTTTATGTTCCTTCTGAAAAGAGATCAGATGACACAAAGAGATATCCATTCACAGCCTTTCGCTTGAACTTATGTTAAGCACGTGGTTAATGTCTGTGTTAGTTAATATTTTCTTGAGTCTATTGTTTTATTGATTACAATGCTTGAATGGCGAGAGCAATTACAGGAAAAGACACCATCCATTTACACACTTTTCCATGTCTGATTAATGTGTCAAAACAATATTTCTGTGCATACAGTCAGTCTGTTTATTTTTAGTTGATTGGATTTAGACTGCAGCAGAATGCAGTATCAGCTAAGAGGGTGTGTTTGATTAATAGGGGGATGTAATGCTACTTTTTGTTTTCTGATAAAGAAAAAAAAAAACCACGACAACTGCAAAGAACTTCAGAGATGATATACATTCAATGCAATCTTGCCAAAACCTTTGTGATCTTGCATATTTTACATTCAGTAACCATAATTAAATGATCTAAGAATACAAAAAAGATAAGATGAACCTGGACTTCACTTAAATTCTGGTAGCTAACCAGATGCCATTATGTATTGATGGATATATTTATCTTGACAGATATGGACATTATGTATTGATTCATTCTGGTAAACCATCTAAATGAACTAGTCATCTGTTATATTTCATGTTGGACTGAAAGGTCCCTTTGTGATTGTATGGGTTCAGTTTGCTTTAGTCTGGTTTAATTCATCAGCACATCTAAACAGCTCATCTGCATTGACAAGCTTGCCACCTTGACTTTGAAATGACTGTCATCCCCTCCGGATCCTCTGGAGCAGAGAGAGGGAGTGACAATACTCACATGTGCAAACTGTCCTATTAATCATTCCACAGATCGCTCTCCTTGCTTTCCTTGGCCTCCAAACATGTTACTTTTATGTTCCTTCTGAAAAGAGATCAGATGACACAAAGAGATATCCATTCACAGCCTTTCGCTTGAACTTATGTTAAGCACGTGGTTAATGTCTGTGTTAGTTAATATTTTCTTGAGTCTATTGTTTTATTGATTACAATGCTTGAATGGCGAGAGCAATTACAGGAAAAGACACCATCCATTTACACACTTTTCCAATAAGTGTAATTCTACACAATATGTCTGATTAATGTGTCAAAACAATATTTCTGTATTAGCATACAGTCTGTTTATTTTTAGCCTTAGTATATGAAAATATAAAATAAAAGATATAGTTTTGAAACAAACTAATTAACATTTCATTTTCAAATTATTTTTAACTTTTGACATTTTTGATTTTTTTCAATCACTTTTATAAAAAAATATCTTAAAGTTGAAGTCTTTATTACTTTTTTATGTAAGAATAATATAAATATATTATTCATATTATGTTTAAAATGGTAAATGCAATGCGTAACCAAACAAACAATAAAATAAATACACTGTAAAATATGATATGATGATGTGATATGAAACGTGATATGATGGCAACTTATGTTAAATTTAAACATAAAGTTACATGAAATTCAACTTGACATTTAAGTTGGTTTAATGTATTTTAAGTTGAAATTACTTGTACAACCAAGCTACTTACCAATAGTTATACCAATACCAATACTTAACAATTTAAGGCAGCAACTGAACTTTTAAGTTTTTAAGTTGAAATAGGTAGATTTTTTTTACAGTAAGATATATAAATAGCATGTTAGTAACTAATAAAGCTCACTAAATTTTTCTCTCAAGTTTTTTGATTTTGAAAAGATATTTGAAAAGAAAGCTTTTAAATGTTCTATGGTGCTTAGAAAGACAAAAAAAAACTTTTTTGACAAAGATGTGTTCGAATGCTTAATGTCTTGTGCTGGCCTTCAAAGAGTGTCCCTCATGTCATTCCCATTTCATACATAATAAGCACTTCTAAATGGGGGGGGGGTCATGAAAAGGGGGTCATGGGATAGGGACAAGAGGGCACAGGTATAAAACAGAGCTGAAGGGGTCAGAAATCATATCCCTGAGGAGCATCAAACACAACAGACCTTCACTGGCAGCCTGAGAATCCTATAAGCCCTTTGGCCTCCAGGATGTGGAAAGACAACAGTATTGGTAAGCATAACTGTATGGTGATCATTTTGATGGATTTAATATGCAAGATCTCATAAGAAAAAGCTTGTTTTTCCAAGCTTCTCCATCTCAAACCAAACATCAGGCACTGTTGGAGTTTTTCTGCTGCATATATTATTATTTTGAATTGATGTTGTGTTTCTAATATATATTAAGTTTGTGCAGTTTAGTTTTCACTAACTGAAGGATGAGAAATATGATGACACTATGTTTAGCTTCACACTCACTTTTATCTTCTTTTTCAGACGCATCTGTTAAAACATCTGGAAGCGGTACTGTAGCAAGAAGTGCAAGTCGCAGGAAGAGAACAAGTTTCTCAAAGGAACATGTTGAGCTTCTTCGAGCCACATTTGAGACAGACCCTTACCCAGGAATCAGCCTCAGAGAGAGTCTCTCCCAAACTACAGGCCTGCCAGAGTCTCGCATACAGGTGGGTTACGTTATGTATAAAAACACACTCAATTTACTAGAATTTAAAGGGATATAAAGTATTTTTGAAGAATTGTGTATTGAAGAATGTTTAAGTTATTTTTTACCAATTATAATGAAAGTCAGTGGGGTCTAAAACAAATTTGGATGCGGCTAGCTTTTATTATACGAAGGAGAAAAAAAAAGAGAGACATTTTTAAAAAAAAATTCTCTTTTGTGTTCCACAGAGGAAAAAAAATCATACAGGTTTGACAGTAGTTTTTTTTAAACTATGTACATAAGGAAACAACCCCTTTTTCTCCTTGTTTGTATCTCTTATGCATTTACAAAATCAGCAGATACACATAAAACAGGTGAAGTGATATGCTAATAAGGCCTTATGTGAAAACATACTGTTTGCTGTCACTGATACCACTGTCAATATCTGAGATGACGTAAGCGTTTTTGTGTTTATCTGTTGTTTAGTTTAGAAACCGTACAGCCTGTAAACAATAGACATACCAGGCATAGATAACAATCCTGACTATGCCACCATAGCTGGATGTCATCTCACAATGATTAACCTAAATCTTTAGACAGGGAAGCTCTTATCTGTATGCAGTAGATGGTTGAGTCTAATCTATCAACTGTATTCTTATGAGTCTGACCCTCTTTATCTTGATGTCTCCGCTCGCAATAGGTATGGTTCCAGAATAGGAGAGCTCGTACGTTGAAATGCAAGGGAGGAAAGAAGCCGCTATGGCAGTCCGAATCACCGTTTAGTGCAGTGCAGAATTCACCAGTTCAGCTACACTCTTCTAACAGCAACAACAGTGAGTCTGGTGCAGGTACTGGGCCTTTATGCACTCCACCACCAGCGTACCCCAATCATATTAAGGAAGAAATGGAAAGGGATGGACTTTATGGATGTGACACTCCATCTTCCATGTCGATCGGTGATGATTCCGGCTACTGCACCCCTTCATACGGACACCAGCATCAGGCCAGAGCCATGAACGCTCACTGCAGCCCTCCTCTGCTAAGCCCAGAGCATCAGATGCCTCCAAACTGGGCTGCGAGGTATGACAGGAGGTCACTTATGAGCTCCATGTGGAGTCCATATCATCTTGATGCCAATGGCTGCAATCCCAACTCACTCCAAGGCTTTTTTTACTCTCCATCTGAAAAACACAACAGTCTTCAGCCGCTGACCCCTGTTACCCCAGACTCGGGCTGCTGGGAGGGTGGTTTGGAGGGCACTCCTCCAGCTTCCAGCTCTTTCTGTGTAGATAACCCAGAAGTTCAGAGGATGGAGAGCCAACAGGAAAGCAGGATTCACCACGGGCCTCTGCCTGAGCTGCCGGCCTTGTCCCTACAGGAGATCCTGGGAGAGCTGCAAGGAGACTGGTGGCAGGGTGAAGGACTAAACAGCCACTCGTCTGAGGACAACCATGTGTACGGCTGAATTTTGCTGTGTACAATCTATTTATGGCTATTTATTCAATGTATTTATTGACTAAGGACATGGATGAACAATTATGTATTATTTATCTGAAAGTAACAACATAAGAGATTTCAGATGTTTTCAGACTAAATTAAGTGGGCTTTGATCTTGCTATTTATTTAATGATCATTGTAAAAGTATGATTATGCAGCTGTGTGTATATTGTTTACAGACATCTTTATTGACTTCATTTAATTGCTGCACTTGCATTTAAATAAAGATGTTTTTCCTTATATGTTCTTTCAAATGTCAGATTTGTATGCAATTGTTCTGCATATGTTGCTATTGTTATTTCTGTTTTTTTTTTTGTTTTTTTTTACTTTAAATGACCTCAGTGCATTCAATGAAAACATTGATAATCATCAAACTACGTAGATTCTGAGTAATGTTGCACAACTCAAAGTTTCTGTCATCCATGAGGTGAAATATTTATGCTTGATACTATCGCTTTTCTGTTCTGAATCAAATGTATACACTACCATTCAAGAGATTGAGTTTGGTAAGATGTCTTAATTTATTTATTTGATTAAAAATACACTAAAAATAGTAATGTTGTGAAATATTATTACACATATTATTATTATTTTTATTGTTTATATTTTAATATGCAATTTATTCCTGTGATGGCAAAGCTGAGAATTTTCAGCAGTTATTATTCCATTCTTCAGTGTCACACGATCCTTCAGAAATCATTTTAATATGCTGATATGCTGCTCAAGAAACAATTGTTCTACTTGATATTTTTCTGGAAACTGTTAAATTTTTTTCTCAAGATTTTTTTATTAATACGTTTAGCATTTTTTAAAATTAGAAATCGTTTATAACATCATAAATGTCTTTACTGTTACTTTTAATCAATTTAATGTTTTCCTGCAAAATACAAGTATTAATTTCAGACTAACGCAGAATGATACTCAGACTCAACTATCAAAGTGGGTGTGTTTGATTAATGAGGGGTGAAATGGACCTGTCATCCATAAAAAATGTGAGATTTTAGTCTCTTCAGGCAGACTCTTCACAGCTGTTGATAATCAATACTATCACTTTTCTGACGTAAATCAGAAAGTGTGTTCAAGCAACATACAAACTCAAAACAAGAGTTCAAAACAAGAGTTTTCTCCACTTTTATTTGGTTTTAGATTTGAGACAATAAAAAAATCTTGTTTAAATTTTTTTTCTAAACAATAATTCTGTATTACTTTTAAAATACTTTTTATTTATCACTTTAAATGTATGTTCAAAATATTCACCAAAAGCATGGTCAACAAACCAGAAACTTCACGTCCCCACTCCTTACACAATAAATATGGTTGTAATTTACACAATTTAGATGTAAGAATGGACTGGTAGGGAGTAGTATATGCACTATTGCACATTCTCTGTTTTTAAAATGTGTGTGTGTACTTATTAAACCCGTAATAATTTACAGAAAAAAGGTGTCTTAGAACTGAATAAAAGATGTACTGATCTGTTTTTCTTCCATTGTGTGTTCTGTGATCCCAGTTTTGTTGCTATTTTGTGTCACAGTGCTTTGGTTTCCTACAGCAGGATGTGTGATTTTGGGGATGCTTGTCTTTTTTTCAACATATCCATTCAAACAACACTTCAAAGCAATAAACAAGAAGGAGGAAATGGTTCTTGTGGGTCTTATTTTCCTCTTGGACAGACTACATTTGAAGTGTCTCATACTGCTTCCAAGTACAGTTACTCTGTGTATTACAGCAAGGAAAGGCGTGTGTGTTATGGAAAGAGATAAACAGTGATAAATAGAGAGCAGGAGGAGCAGTAGCAAATAATCTTATGTCTTTTCCTATTTATACATCCTAATTTATAGCACAGCAGCTGATGTTGCAGGATTAACCTGAACCTGAATTGCATGCATAAAGAAATTATGTATTTATAGGAGATATTACAACATATATTATTATTATTATTACTATTAGGCCTATTATTATTATTATTATTGTTGTTGTTTCTGTTTAATTTATTGTTTAAACAGTAGATTAAAAATAAAATAGGAAAAAAATAAAAAAGTAGATCTAAGTGATTCAAACAAAACACTAGATATTTATAAAATACTGCTTGTCTTCAGTACTCAATATTTGCTTGTCTAATAAAATGATTGATATAAGCGATTCCCCAGTGAATAATCGTGAAAGAGATTCGGTTCTGTTTTGAAGTGAGTGATCATTACTCTCATAAGATGAATGCAGGGAGCACCGGGTGTGTGCTTCCCCGATGCTTTCTCACACTCACACGCCAAGTCTTAAATTCATGTGTGTGTGTGTGTGTGTGTGTGTGTACTGGTTTATATAACCTGGTGGGGACTTAAACCTGACTACACACAGACTCATGGGGACTCGTGTCACGGTGGGGACCTAAATTGTGGTCCCCACGGGTACAAAAGCTTATAAATCATACAGAATGAAGTTTTTTGAAAATCTAAAAATGCAGAAAGTTTCCTGTGAGGGGTAGGTGTAGGGGTAGGGTTGGTGTAGGGCAATAGAAAATACGGTCTGTACAGTAGAAGCTGGTCAGACGTGTGTGTGTGTGTGTGTGTGTGTGTGTGTGTGTGTGTGTGTGTGTGTGTGGTGTGTTAAGAGTTTTTTCAAACTGTAAGTACTAGGCTGAGGCATTGTGTGACATAAACAAAGAGGTAAGCCTTTTTAGATTGCATATTATAACTGCTTATTTATTTATATTTCCTAACACGGAATAAAATATTTTGCCAAAATCGCCAATAGACTACTTTGCGTTGTGCTTTTGAATTGTAAATACGTAAACGGACGTGAATTGTCGAGCATTGCGTTTCACGCAGAGATACGGCGCGCTCGGCGCACTCTCCTCCCTCGTAAATAATTTAACCTGCGGCTTAGTTTAACTTGTTGTAGTAAAGATTTTATATATTAGTATATTTGTAATAAGTAGGTAATTGTGACTAAATTATATGTTTTGAAAAGTCGTGAGGTGATAAAGTTTGTTGGTTAGCCGTGACATCTAACGTTAGCTGTTGGCATTGTTCTTGCTTTTATCGAAGAAAAATAATTTATATTATCATAGTACTGACGGTGTTCCCTGCATTAACTTTCTAAAATCTCCCAAACGAGAATATTAAATGTTGTGGAAGACTTAGAGTTGCCTTGGCAGCTGGTTTTACAAAGTGAGCTGACAACTTTGCTAATCAACTAGCCACTTAGCTAACTAGTAAGAGAGGAAGAAGTGTGGGCAGAGCTTGTGAGCCATCTTGTGTGTGTATTCGCTTACGATTTTTCATTACTGGATGGATATATTTCATTGTAAGTTGTCTGTGGGGCACTAAAATATTTCGAAGCCATACCTGATGTGATAATAAAAAGAAAACAATCGAACACACGGAATTTCTGCCCTAGAATAACAGAACTGAATAATCTTCGGTGGTTTGCAGCTGTTGGTACCGCTTGGCAGGTAATGCAAATAGGAATTATTATGATTACATAACACTAAACCGGGATGTTTAACCAGCAGTTTTTATTGGTAATTTTAGAAAGTCCTGCTGTTTTTTTTTATGCGAGACATAAGTTACAAATAACTGAAGCAGAATCTCGATAAACCCATATAGTTTTCTGTATGCTGCAGGTTAGTGATAGGGCATTTCATATAATTAATAAGGAATTATTAATTATTATGTAGCACTTTTTTAATCATCAAAATTTTAGGTTGTGAATGTATAAGTACAGTAGTTGTACACGAAGTAAAGCAGGCATTCCCAAACCTTTTTGGCAGCAGAACCGCTTTGACCTGAGTGTTTGCTGGTACTCCCTGAGATTTATATTTTAATAATTTTATTTTAATAAATGAACAACATATTTGTGGTTCTCTGGTGTCAGTTAATGGTCACATGACATGCCAGTAAACATAAAATATAAACTTTTTTTTACACATTTTATTGTAAATTATTTATATTCATTTTACATTTATACACATTATTTTACATTAATTCTTTACATTAATTTATACATTTTTATCGACTTATGAACTACCTGCAGTTCCCTCATGAACCCCCAGTTTGGGGTATACATAAAAGTATGTAAACTTCTGCTTGTATGAAAAGTTAATTTTATCTTAAAAAAAATA